AGCGGAGGTCCAACGAAACCATTGGAGTTTTGAATGGGGTCTACGAGAAAAAAAGTTTGGGAACCTCTGGTGCAAAGTAAGGGCAAGCCGCCATTAAAATATGTTTACCAGCGCTGCATGCATGGCTTGACGGTTAAGTAGTTAGAAATGAAATAATAGGGAATTCACATGAGGCGATTTTTAACAACTTTTAGTTGAAAGCAACAATCGCCTGGTGTAAACGGCCATTCAACTAATCGCTTTGAATGAAGTTGGTCGGCTGCCTACTTTCGTTCAACTTTTGATTCAACTAATCGCCTGTGAAAGTTGAATCATGTAAATTGCCTACAAGTATAACAATGAGTGCAGAATTTTTTCAGAATTTTCTTTAGTTTTCGTACAGAAGTTTCTTTACGAGGTCGTGTCAACCACTTCATCTAATGTCCACTGAAGATTTGTAAAAAAATCCTTACATAAATGAAGATTTCGGGAACTTTGGTTTGCAGGGATTTTGTAGTATTTGCATACGTAAGTATGTAAATGTAATGTACTTGCTAGTTGCATTTGACAATTTATTTGCAAATACGTTAAGTGCAGAAAAAAATAAAATATTGAAATTTCTAATAAGACGTGTATGGAAAGTTCCATATTTGTTCATTGGGAGTGTCTCCTCCCAATCGGCAGAGGGAACTCGTCGGTTCTCGCAAATTTGGACATAGGTTGAACAGTACATAGATGAGTTTCAGAGACCTCACAATCATCTCATTTGATCAATACCTTTAATAATTTTACTTTCAAACTCGAATATCGGTAAAAGTAATGATTTTAGATCTAAAAGAAGACTAGCCTTTTGCTAAAGCATAAATCTCAGCCTGGAAGAAGCTGCAGTTATTTCGGGCTAGAGCACAACGCTGGTTTCTTACTCCATCTTTAGGCCACATGATGGAAAAGTGCAAACAATGTTTCTCAACAGTGTTGATAGACAATGTTTCTTCGTGTTTTTTTTTTTAGCACCAGAGCGCACCCAGAGGCTGTTTTTGGTAAAAATTAATTGCATATTTCAGATTCCTCGCACCCGAAAACGCCCAAAGGCCTTTTGATGGTATAAATATTTTCATTTAAATCAATTTCAAATGTTTTAAATGCTGCTCTGCGACCACCAACTTCAAATTGATAAAAACGCTTGAAATCGCCAACCTGGAAAAACTGAGAAATTACTTCTCTATATTCAATCCAGATTTTCAGAAAGGCACGGTTACACCTATACCCCAGCCGACTACCGAACAAGTGTAAGGAATGCTTCCGGTTCTCAACTTACTTCTTCTTTGTTTAAGACCCTGTGTGGGCAATTTAGAAAATACTTAATTGCATTGCAGGTGTCAAAGGCAGTCTTAAGTGGCGTTCTTAAGACTCTTGATTTTTGGCTTCAGTCTAATTCGATGTTCCAAAAGCAATCAGTCCACCAGTTCGTCAAGCACATCTCTTGCAGAGGACGTTTAGAGCAGTTTCGCTTTCGCTGCAGACCCTCCAGACGCTAGCTAGCGCAACTTCCATTCTCTGTCTAGGTAGAGTCTTTACCGAGATCCCCAATAGAGTATCTGTATCTTTTTATTGGTCTGCGGTATAAAAGCTAACGATGGAATTTCTTCTAAAAGATGCCCCTGATATAAGTTGGCCATTTGGAGCTATAAAAAAAAGGGTATTTGTGCTTCAGGCTCTGGAGCTAAGATCGTCGTTCTGCAGTCGACCGATTGTTGACACGCAAACCGTGGGATTACCAATTTTTTTATGCACCATATTGAGCAGAATAACTTTTAATCGGTCTGACTATAGGCGTGTACCCAAAGTATCGACACTTTCCGAAAACGTTCAGTCTTTCATTTACCTACTCGATATACATATCATCGATGTTTTTGCAAATCCGCCCATCGACCAGTTGCAAAACCGCCTAAATCGCCATTGTGGCAAAAATGAGATTTGGTAACCCTGATCTCCAGGCATCGAGATTTATGCATAAAAATCGTTAAATCGTTATTAAAATAAAAGATTTGTAAAATAATAGCTTGAGAAAACACTGCCTATCAAGGCAATGCCTTCAATGATTAAACCGTTTTTTCGCTCCTGTAAAATTTGAGTGCCGTAAGATAGGCGGTTTTGCAGTTGGACGATGGGCGGTTTTGCAAAAACATCGACGATATGTATGTTTATTAGTTTTCCACGTCAGGTACTTATCCAGAGTTACTATCGCGAAAAGACTAAGGTTAACCTACGTATATATGTATGTATTTGTGTATATGTATGTACATATGTATGCAGTGGCGGATTTAAATATTTGCCGCCCCTAGGCAATTCATAACTTGCCGCCCTTTTTTCACGAAAAAAAAAAAATATATATATATATCAAATATGATTGTTATTGTCAGTGCTTTATTACAATATAGTAAAACACGATGTATTCTGCACTGAAATGCTTTAGAGGTTTGGACAAGTAGAATCCAATTATCAGGACATTGAAGTAGCGCTATGCGAGTATACAAAATAAAATCGCTCATCCGGAAGATTTTTTGACCTCGCGCAAGACAAACAGAAGACCATACACAGATACACTGCCTAATTTGACATACGACGGAAGCTGACCTTCAGATTATTCACGTTATGATACACTTATGAAAAACTGGTGGGCTTGGAATCAAGAATTTTCTCGAAAATGCACGCTCGTTTTTCGGCAGTGTTGTCAAGTGTGGTAACCTTTTAGATGATTCTCGTTCTCGGGGCAGCGTGTCGGCTGTTTCTTTGCGTCACGCGCAGGCGCGCCGTCAGGTTTCTAAGCCGCGTGAATGAAAGTTAAATGGAAATTTCAACGACTGCTATACTAAGGAAAAATTCGCAGCGTAATTCTAATTTTGAATTGTATTGAATGAGATGAATCATTAATAATATTTTACAGACACAAACACAATTTCAAGTGCAGCTGAATCCAAATAAATTTTTTTCTTTTAATTTAGCTGTCTTAAATTTTGCCGCCCCTTAATTCTGCCGCCCTAGGCTTCAGCCTATGTTGCCTGTACGATAAATCCGCCACTGTATGTATGTATGCAGATAGATACAAATATATGTATGTACATATGTACATAAATATGAATATACTTTTCTGTATGCTTTCCGGGTACGATGCGTGCATGCCAAAGTTGGTTGGCAGCTGATTGCATTTCTCTGTAACATGCAACCGATGCACACAAGGCAAAAAAGACGATTCAGCTGGACAAAAATAATTAACTGATAAAATTGATTTGTGGTGTGGGAAATTAAATATTATATGATGCTTTAAAACTATCTAAGCGAAAATAACGGCATTAACAACAATATAAATTTACCGACCCCTGCGAAAAATGGTTTTATTCACTTCGATATGATGAAACATGATATTTACATGAAATAAATAATAGTAAGAGAAAAACATTGTACAGGTAGACCTCGGACAACACGGGGGCTTTGTCTTCTTCTTCTTTTTTGGCGCTGTAACCGCCTAAGCGATTTTGGCCGAGTTCAGCAAAGCACGCCAGTCGTTTCTCGGCTGTGCCAACTGACGCCAATTGGAAACGCCAAGTGAAGCCAAGTCCTTCTCCACCTGATCTTTCTATCACAGTGGCGGCCTCCCTCTTCCTCTGCTACCACCAGCGGGTTCCGAGTTGCGATCGGGCGGCATCTTTTTTCTCTGCAGCTTCCTGACACTTCTCATCATACCAGTTGTTCTTTCGGGCTCGCTGAAATCCGACTACTTCTTCGGCGGCGGTAGTTAATGAGCGGGAAATGTGGTTCCACTGCTCGCATATGTCGGTTTGTTGAAGAGTGCTCTCTGAGAGCAGGTGTGAGAGCCAGTAGCGAAAGCACTGGCTGTCTGTTGTGATTGCAGCTTTTCAACGTTAAGCTTTCCTTGCATATTTGGGCGCACATTTTTTGCTGCACAGAGGCGGGTGCGTATCTTGGCTGCAACAAGATAGTGGTTCGAGTCGATGTTTGGGCCTCGGAGTGTGCGTACGTATAAAACATTGTAAGCGTGCCTTCCGTCTATCACAACATGATCGATTTGGTTTCTCGTTTTCGATCCGGAGACAGCCACGCAGCTTTCTGGATCTTTTTATGCTTGAACCTAGTACTGCATACTACCATGTTTCGGGCCCCGGCGAAGTCGATCAGCCTCAATCCGTTGTCGGATGTTTCCTCGTGGAGGCTGAATTTTCCGACGGTGGTTCCAAAGATCCCTTCTTTGCCCACGCTGGCATTGAAGTCGCCAAGCACGATTTTGTTATCATGACGGGGGCAGCGCTCGTATGTGCGCTCCAAGCGCTCTTAGAAGAGATCCTTGGATGCCTCATCCTTCTCTTCCGTCGGGGCATGGGCGCAGATGAGCGAGATGTTGAAGAATTTTTGTAAAAGTGCTACGAAAAACCTTCGTGGTCTTGTACAATGTACGAAACTTTCGTTCATAAGACGAACACATTTTTCACAAAGAAACCAGATTTATCGAACCGTTCGTAAATATAACGGAGAGACTTTCGTTAGGCATTTTTTCAGTACAATTTACGAAATCGTACGTTTATTTTTCGAAATACATTCCTAAATTACTGAACACATGTGTGCAAGATATTAATTCGGCAAGTTGCGGGTACTTTAGTAGCATAATGCAAAACGTTGCTTCATAACTATTAGTGTCCCTTAGTTAGTCAAAGATTAAGGAAAGTTCATACGTATTTTCATAGACACTAACACCCTTATTCTAGAACCCGAATTTTCGCAATTCGTAGCTAAGTTACGAAAAACGATAAAAAAAATATTATTATATTTTCGATTTTTGTGCAGCTAAATCGCCAATTTTGCCTTATGTGCGATGGCACAAAGTGGCAGGTTGCCGCTGCACCTTTGCACTCACATACGCGCGCATACATACATATGTGCAAAACATCCATTTGCCACTTTCTCATACAAATTTCATAAATTTATTTGTGAACTTTATTTTCCAGTCGTTGTCTGCAGACTAATCGCACAGCTAGTAATAAATCAGACAAAAGTGCTATAAAATATTAACAAACAATAAGTAAAATCAGTGGTGAAGAGGAAATTGTGCCGCATGTATTGCACTTCGCATCAAAGAAACAATCAACAACTGGCGTTGTAGTGTCGCCACGGTGAACGGACGGCGGTTAAGTAAATGAGATTAACCACCTCGCATTGGCGCGCCGTTCGGCGGTATTTTTTAGTTTTCACCGCCATTGCATTGCTGCCGCTAGCGCTTGTCTATCTGGTGCGAAACGAGCAAATTTACCGCATCAAAGGATATGAGGTAAGTCCATTTATACACATACTAAGTACATACATATATGTATACCTGATTTTGTATTTTTGTATGTACTGTGCTCCTTACATACCCATCCCACAATCATATTTATACAAATTTAAAAATTTTCGAATTACACAAGTCGCTACTGATTTTTGTTTTTTGTTTTGAGTTGAGCGCAAATCTTTACTTATCACTTATTGGCGATAGTTAAACAGCAAATACTAGAGTCAAATCGATAACCCAGGTCATTGGCTCATCACTGCTTTAGTTTTATTATTTTTTATGATTAGGTTGCTAATTTCATTGTTTGCTACATAATTTTTGTAAGTACTTCGCTTATTTAAAAAAAAAGAAAGAATATATATATATATCGCAAATATTTTCAACGCATTCGTCCCTCACTGCCTCGTACGCTTACAAACATATGCACGCAGGTACACACACACATAACTACAGTATTAAATTCTAGCTTTGTGATGTTTACGCAACCATTTCAACGGTTGAGTGTCTATCAATCAGGTGTAAATGAATGCATTTAAGGGCGTTAAGTGGAAAATCAAACAATATTAATATATGTATATATTCAATATTTATAGTAAGCTGATCATGTGCAAAAACTTATAAAAATATACATACGTACGTACATTGGTATATATGTACACATTTAGATACATGCATAAATAGTTTTTTTTCAGTACCCCGTCAGAAAGGGTACTTTGCATACGTTCCGCTCAATGATGCAACTGACAGTTGAGTAGACTGTGTGTGTTGTGTTGGCATAGAGAGCGTCAGATTGGCAAGCCTTGCGTCGACGGACCCAACGAGCGTTGGCCAACACTCAACTTTTGATGCATGTAAGTCCGTCACTGCTGACAGTTGTATAACCCCGCGTTTACACAAGACAAGACCAATGAGAATATGCACATAATTTACGCATTGTTTGAGCAAAGTAGGCATCCGGACAATAAACTGTCTTCGAAAAGCCAGAGACAGTGATGAAGACATCAAGATAAGTGGGAATATATTAGTAAAAAAAAAAATGTGAATGTTTTGCTATTGTATCTGAAAAATTGACTTGTGTAAACCCCAAGTACGCGGGGCCATAAGGAACAGCTGGTTTTTGTTTGCAGACGCAACGCCTTCATTGTGACGTATCTCTACGGTACGTACGCCACTTCCTTCGCATACTTTTCCGTTATTGACGTACAAGTACCCATTCTGACGGGCCTATAAGCAGTAAGAGTTAGTACCGTACGAAAACATTAGAGTACAGATATACATATAAATAAACATGTACGTGCACGTACGAAAGAAAAGTAACACATATGTACGTTTATAAATAAACATGTACACAACACATATAAGAAAACGGTACGTACTCACGTACACAATAAATTCACAAAAACGGTACTAGATTGATTTCGGAATGCTTACAAATTGAGAAGTTAGCAGCTTACTGCCAATATAGAAGTATTACATATATGGATTCTGCCTTTTAAACCCCAACGTGTGGGAGATTATTGGAGATTACTTAAATCATGCGCAATTGTACTCCATGGAAACGAAGTCGGGTGTACTTTCTTTAGTGATTAGTCGCACATTTTCCTTCAGGGTAAGGAAAAATGTATCACAAACACATTTACCACATGCTATGTTTTTATGTTATGAGTATGAAAGCACACTTCCGAAACTTAAAAGCTACATATAAACTTCCAGCACCATTTGGCGTAATTTAATGAGCGTAATGAGTATCCGATTGCTAGACAAGTAAACAAATCAGTTTGATTTTGGTTTTATGAAGCTTCCAGAGAGCAATACTAATCATTAACGGTAATCAAATTAAAATGTCAGCATTTAGTTTTTGCTAACGGAACTATAGTTACATTTTTTTTTTTTAGTCGAAAAATAGCTTAATTACGAAGCCCAAAATTGTTAAAACTTCCATTTTCAACAAACCAGAGTGGTTCATTCATGCCTTTTAATTAGCGATTGTGTGCAGCCGTCTGGATACATATACATACTGACAGGCCCTGCATATTTACCTTGAGTACTACGTTAATTTGTCCATGCAAATAAGCCACGTCTTTTTACAGTACGTCTTCCGGCACCCTGAAATACACATACACATACATATGTATACCCATGTACAATTGTATCGCCATATGAGTTGCACGCATGCACATACATACATACATATGTATATATGTACATATGTATGTATGCTTACACTTGACCCTGGCACTAGTGACCACGATTGCGATTACTCCTCGCCGGGCGATTGAGGGGCATAGCCATAAACTTGTGTGTATTGTAGCGCACACACTTGCACTCAAGAGAAGCATTTTAAATGCTTTTCTTTGCTTTATTTATATGCCATTTTGAAAATTTGTTTACCACCATTTCGTTGTTCATTGTTGCTATTGTTGCAGTCCAGTAGCACTTTGTTGTGTGATTTAGAATTTGAACTTACATTGTTAGTGTGTTAGTGTAGATAGTGTTGTTGATGGAAACGATGCGAGGCGTGGATGAAATCCAAAAGCGAATGTCATACAAATCATTAATGTGCGAATGCGAGCACATTGGAAATACTACATATCGCCGATGTTTTTGCAAAACCGCCCATCGACCAATTGCGAAATCGCCTATCTTACCGTACTCAAATTTATAGGAGAGTCTGGAAAGTGTTGTCTCGAGATTATAAGTGAGCATTGTCTATTTGCTTTTACAGCCCATTCCAAGCCAAGGAGCAAGGAGCTAAGGAGCAAAGGATTTTAGCCGGAAAGTTTACCGACCACATGTATTTCAATTGGCACTTTCACATTAGTGTAGCATACATGAAATAGGAGCGGATTCATTTCGGCATACCGCACTGTTTGTTACAAAAAAAAAAAATAAATATTTAGAACTACGTCAAGGCCCTTGAAGTTTTCCATGTCATTTATATGGGGAAAACACTTTCGTAGAAATTGTTTGGAGTTCTTGAAAATCAATATTTTTCGATCAGAAGCTCTGTTTCTCTTTAGGAGACTTCCAATAACAATACCCAATTACTTATTGAACCATTTTTTAATATCAAATAATTTTATAGGTTCCCCAAAAACCCCAAAAAACGCAATGACACTCTTGCAGCAAATGTGCGATATGTACATACATACATACATACATTTGTATATCGAGCCCTAAATTTTCGTTTGGATGCAGAAGTGCTCCTGAATCATCTGGAGGTATTTCTGCATCAAAAAAAGAACAATTAAAAAAAATATCGCCTACCTTTTTTTTGGTTAGGGCTCCATTTGTAAATAAATAAATAAAAAAAGTTTTTGTTGAGAGCGCGAGCGAAGCTTGGAGCGAAATAAAATACCGGAGAGGAGCTGGAGCTGAGCGATGAAAAAAAAAACTTTGCTCCGAAGCCCTGGCTAAAAGGCCCTACATATGCTTCAACCGGCCGGTAATTTTATATGCCACAGAAATATGACCGATGCGTTTATAATAATGACGTCGGATGGCAGCTCAAATGATGGCCCAACTCTAAGCTTAGATGAGAATTCTACGTAGGAAATTACATCGAAATATTCAATGAAAAGTCCTTTACAGGAATATATTTTTCAATGATCATTTTAATGCTCATAAACGTGAACTATTTACTCCTTATGAATTATTTCTAGGTTATTGTTTATAGCACTATGGCTCGGTTAATAGGCTGGTTGTATTAGAATTTTTGAAAATATGGTTTAACCAGCTATTTAGTATTGAAAAGAAATTAGCACTATAGTAAAAAGCAAGCTTTCTAAATATGAATGAAGGCGGCCCATAACTGGTGGACACAAGATTTAGTGGAGTTATTCCTTTTCGTGTAGTTAACATCCGTTCTAAATACGAACCTAATCGGACTATAAATACGGGGTTTTCAAATATCTCCACTCTTGCGCCATTCCGTTGTTTTAAAAATATCTTTTTTAACCGATTTCACAAAAAGAACCTTTCATCAATTCGTCGAAATATTTATTTATTTATTTATTTTATTTTTATTTATTTATGTTACTGCATAACTTTGTACCACGTTAACCGATTTCTATAATAATTTTTTTTTTAAGGAAAGGTGTTACCTCACAGGTGGTCCCGTTGTAATTTGGTCTAAATCCGATCATTGGATCATCAAGAGATTAACGATAATCTTAAATTTTTATATGAAAAATGAAGTCGATTTTGTTTTTTGCTTAAAATTTAGTTGTTACTATTAACTTATTTCATTCACAAATCGAATTTGAAATGAATAAATCTTTGGTAAAATAACCTTATCTAGAAAAACGGTATACAGATCGGCAATGTACGACTCAAAATTGAGTTTACTCGCCTCGGCGTGTTTTGTGTAATTTTAGCGTTCGTACAGAGTAATAATCTTTGAAAAAAATATTTTTGTCAGCCTTTTCTATAAACACATGCATTTTTTTTCAGGTAACTTAAAAAAATTGCAATTTATTATTTGACCCTTTGGCGATCCATTCACACACAATCCTTATTGCTTCTTTTCCGCTATACATATACATAAGTAAACGCTTATGCGTATAAATAGCTGTTGACGTAAGCTAATTGCCTGTTAAATAATGCTACTGATTTGAAATGCTGATTTAAATACTTAAATACACATTCGTTTCCATACCATCTCCCAGCCTCACTTTACCCTGCGTCTGCTCAATTATTCGTTTACATCACCGTATGCGCTATTTCTTCCACATTTCAGATCGAAAACATCTTGCTGCAATACATACATTTTTTAACTAGCTCCGTCACTCATACGCCCCGCGCCCTATTCAAACCTCACACATACAGGCATACATACCTACCTAGCATTCACGGTTGCCCCGAGCAACTCTTTTGGCATTTTCTCCCACCGAGTAATTCATTTCTGCGCACATTAAACACTTTCACACAAGTTCATCTTTGTACAACTTGCGTCGCGTATAAAGTACATACATACATATGTATGTACATATGTATGTACCTGCGACATACACTTATTTACACACATTTGTTGTACATGTTATTGTTGCTCGTATTGTTGCTTCTTTTTATAGTCCAGGCTTTTCTACACATTTTTGTAGTTGTATTGTGAAATAATTCATCCGATGTAAGCGCTGAGGAACAAAATTGTGGAACCAAATTACAACAATTCGCACTACATATTTGCACCATTTTTAGTACGTGTATGAAAATCAGCTAAAATTTCAAATGCGAAGTAATTCGATTGGCAAAATTCTAAACAATACAATGACAACTTAACCAAAACTTAGCAAAATTTGCAACAATAATACCACAACAATAATTTTTATTATCGTACAATTTTTTAGGCGTCAAAGTTCAACGATCACTTCGGTGATCAAAGTTTTCGTTATCCGGTAATGTTGCTGGGGAAAAATAAGGATCTAACAGTAGCGTCTACAGGAAGTTCTCGCAAAAAATTTTACAAATACGCTAAAGTAAATATACAAATAAATGTACCTGTATAACCAACAACCGCTGCCCTTTTGTATGTAAACGTAAAGTTTAAGCATTTTTACTCCACTCACACACATACTACGTACATACACTAGTATAAAAGCATTTGAATTTGTATGTATGTATGTAGCAAAATATTTGTGCAAGTCAATATAAACGCTTAGTGCCACACATTGTACGGGCACACTGCACACTGCACACCCGCCTACAGCTAATCGGCAAAATAGTTATTGTAAATATTAAAAACCAAAAAAAAATTTAGATCAGCAACGCTTCCCGAAAGTCATCGAAGAGCGGAAAATTCGAATTGATATCTGATGTCTAAAATAGTAAAAAATATACGTATGTATGTAGAGATGTTGGAACGTCGTCAAAATTTCTCATAAATCCATCCAATATACTGCCATTATATCAGAATATTATATTTTTGTACATGTTGCCACAAGCTGTCAAAATCACTCCATACCACCCCCCGCTCTTATGTAGTACACCCGATCACGCGACCATACATATGTACATAGCATAGTGCGTTTCTTTTGTTACTCATACGCCCCCGGGCGCACATTTCGCATTCCACACTCCACCAGGTAAACACTTACACATCCCAACAACCAACAATTGACATCCCCATAAATCAAATAGTTAATGCATTTCCTTTTCGTAGCCCCAAAGAATGTTGAATAATAACAAATAAAATAGTTAAGTATTATAGTTACATATGTACATATTCGCGTTATTCGAATTGTTTGTGCTTGTTTGCCAATATACATTTAAAATTTTGTATTTTATATTTTTCCTCTTTGTTGTATGTACTATATATTTAGTATGTTAATGAGTCACATGTGCCAGTATTGCCGGAGGAGTCAGTGCACACGCTTTCGCCGAACGATGTGGAGCGCATCGAGAAGCGCATGGAACGGCGGCGAAAACTGCTGCAAGAGAAATGTGCCGAATTTGGCCTAGATGTAGTGGGTAAATATATTTAAAGTTCTTCTCTATGCTTAAGCACACTTATGTATATATGTACATACATTGGGGTGATCCAAATTTTTTTCCTCCAGTCACCCCCAGATCGGAAAAATATTAAAAATAAGCAGACACGTATACGTTAGAAATAATCGAGTAGAATGGAAAAAGAAATATAAACGCATCCATTGAGGTGATTGTGCGTGATGTGGTTATGAAATAACTAATTTTTGTATACAACAGTTAGGATTATCGGTTATTAAAACACATTTAGTTACTAAGTTAAATACTACCCGATGTCGAAATAAAATAAAAAAAAATACGTGTCTCCTTATTTTTGATATTATTCAGTTCTGGGGGTGGCAGCAGGAAAAATCAAAAAAATTTGATTCTCCTATGCATTTTTTTGGGCCACCCTAATGTACATATATACATACATACACACATACATGTATCTATACGATGTAAGTGTAATATTATTTAGAAATTTATTTCGGAAAGCAGAAAACGTTTTTAAAGTACACTTATTACTGAATATTTTAGGCCCAGATTAATCGGCGGGTTATCTTTATTAAAAGAAAAATTCCATGGTAATGAACACTTAAAATAAATTTAAAAAAATAGTATATGTTGAACTTTAGCCCAAATGGCAGAATAATTTAATAAGACATGTTCTTTCTTTAGACCAAATTTTCGTCCAGAAATTCTATTATTTTACAGTCTGATATCCGCAAGAATTGTAAAAGCACTTAGCTGTTACGCAGGTTTCCGTAAGTTCCCTGGTTTTTGTAAATTATTTTCCGAATCTGAACTTGGTGACAACGAAATTGTGTTTTCAAATTTTCCGACTCTAATTCAAAATGTTCAAAGCGCGAATAATCAAGTTGATTATGTTGTCATAGACGAAAGATTGAGATGCGTTCCATTTGAGCAGCAAATATCGGCAATAGCAAGGAACAGCCGAGAAACCTCGCAATCGGTTGTCATTCCTGCTTAAATAAGAAACGCTTCTTTTCGTCCAGTGGGATTCAATGTATCTCCCAATCCCTTCCCGCCGTTGTGGAAGTGCCAGTTGCCATGTCGCTGCAGCAAAGAAATACGCAGCATACAAAGCCAGCCTACATCCAATTGCTAACAGTGGCCACACACGACGAACATGTGCGCGCGCATGCTCGGCTTGCGGAAGAATTCCTTAAATTAAAATAGTTTAACAATGGAATACCGTTAAATGAATCACTCTACATTGAGTAGTTTCTTTGAAACTTCTTTTGAAGGACAGCTAAATCGTTTGGCTTGTCTTTGCCCTGGACATTCCATCCAATGCTTGTTGAACATTTTATCTACCCGGTTATTTATGTGTGCTTTGATGAGCCCACGAAAGCGTTCTGAACCATAAAATACTAAGGCAGCTCCTTGTTTCGCTAGGCTGTCGGCCTCCTCATTGCCATTATGTCCGTCATGCCCCGGTACCCGTCCTAATAAAACTGTATTCTTGGCATACATACATACATACATATATTTCTCCAAATTCGTTTTGTTTACTATTTCTACAAATTAAATATATTCAAGTAACTAATCATTAAATATTTGTAATGCTTATTATTATTAAATAATCACGCTCATTCCCTTTAAAAGTACCGTAATGATTTGTGGTCGCAAAAGATTAATTTATTGCCAGTAAACTGTTCACTCTAGCGACTGACTGCCTTCACCCACGTGCATCGATAGTTGATAAATAAATATAGTGTTTAACGGATTTAAAAATGAGTAACGAGTAACACATTTTGTTGTTTTTTTTGTTATTTGTACCTGAACAACAAACAAAATTAAAAGGCAATGAAAATTTCTGCTGAAATAGGGCAAAGTTAGAAATTATCGTTAGTAATTAAATTACATATTTATATGTTATATAGTATTTATAGAGGCACATTGTAGAAAAACTCTCAGATTAATGCAAAATTTCATTTTTTTTCTTTCAAAGGTAACGACACATGGCACAAGCCCAACGCTTGGGAGTTTTTAGTCAATAAAAAATATCACATTATATGGTTGGTTTTTTTTTTTTTGTTATGAAATACATTCGTTTCTAATGAAATTATATCAAATTCTTTGCAGGTGCAATGTGTTCAAAGCTGCCTCCTCATCATGGATGTTCAATTTTAATGTATTAGCCGGTTACTCGCCGGATTTCCTACAACGAACCAAAGAAGTGTTCCTGAATTTGGCAAGGGAACGTTATCCGCGCGTTTCTATTGAAAAGGTATACTGATCAGCGTTGCCGGTTTGGTAATTTTTTTTCTTCCTTTATCAAATTTCGTAATTTATTTTTCAGTTTGGTAAATTTTTTCGAGTCAGTGTTACATGTTTTTTAAGCAGAGTAGATTCTTTGTTCACATGGGTCCATACAGCAAAGACATTTATTTTCTGTTTAAACTTGAGAGCAGCGATGTGGATAGAAAGACCAGGTACTCACTCCTGGGTGTAAAGGTATTCCAACCCAACGTTCGTTGGCTACTAGAATGGTATGATCTCTAACTGTTAACAAGTGATAATTCTCTGTTGCAATGAAGTATATCCACGACTCTAGGATTGATCAGATGCCCTCACTTGTTTTGTGATTTTAGCCTTATACGGGCGGATGTGTATGTCCAAGTGCAAACTATACGATAATGTGCCATAAGATAGCCCCAGTTTCTGAGGACGACGAGCAGTAGATAAATTCATTTCTTCAACCACACTTTAGTTTGAACTCCACACCAAGCTTTTCTGGTGTTGTTGTGGCTTTCGGTGCTCAAGCCGATATGAAAATTATTGCTGAATAGAGCGCTGAAAGCATGAAAAGTGTTGACTGACGGAAAGTTTCATGTGGGATTTTAACTTTATGATGTCTTATCCTACGATATCTGATAGCGACCCAGTGTCTTCGGTTGTACTTATTTGTGAATAGTTCTGCACAAAAAAAGAGTTTAGTTATTTTTTATGTTGAATGTCGTAACTTACGTCCTCGTGATTTGGTAACAAATAAAAAGTTACTGTGGCAACACTAATACTGATATATCATTCAACATTTACGTGAAAACATTTGTTGTCAAAAGCATCGCCTTTACGCCGCATATTCATTGCTATGAGCAGCTCCTTACTATGTACTTATATATTTTCGCCCTGTTTGAGGTACTACTTCAAAGCACTCTCTACTTTGCTGCATCCTTTCGGTACACAAGTAAACGACAGTCGTTCAGTTAAATAAGGTTGCTTTATAATAAATTACTTGGGACAACAATTCACTCACTTACAAATAGATACATACATACATACATACATACATACATACATACATACATATGTTTCCTATATAGAATATATTTTATTTGCTTCACTAATGTCTTGTTATTGTTATTGTCATTTGATTTTTGTTGTTTACAGCTGCGAGAAGCACAAAATGATTCGATTACATTCATGATAGCGCGCCATCCATTCGAGAGGCTATTAAGTGCATATCGTGATAAGCTGGTATTTGCCCTACCACACTCCTATCACGACAAGTTGGGGCGGCGCATTGTACGCAAATATCGCAGCAAAGTGAGTAGCGCGCTACAAAACATAAATAGGCACGCGTGTGCCAATAAGAAAATGTGGCAATATGCAAACAAATTCACATATCTACATTAGGGTGCCTCACCAAAAAAAAGTTACGGTTTTCCAGTGAAATTATAAAATATATTATATTTAAAGGCTTCTGCCGAAATATTTCGGAAAAGTATTAAGATTTAAGTGAGCCGGACCGATTTGATAAGACCTAAAAAAATCCTGTTTTTATAGCCGGGCGCACTTGTGCACAAGGGTATTATAACTATATAACGGTTGTTTGTAATAGACAAAACGAATCGAGAAAGATATAGACAAATGTATACATAAATGATCAGAAGGAAAAAATCGATTAAGCGGTGACTGTCCGTCCGTCCGTCTGTGCACACGAAAACTCGAGTAAAAATTGAGATATCTTAACGGAACTTACGAGCGTAGGACGGATGGTATTGAAAATGGGCAAAATCGGACCGTAACCACGCCCACTTCCCATATAACGGTAGTTTTCAGAAATACGAAAACTGCAATATTTTAGTATTTACTGATGCTTATTCACTGAAAATTGATATTCACAATGATTATTAGACGAAAAATAAGAATACAATAAATTTTTGGAAAATGGGCGTAGCCACGCCCACTTATGATTACATGTGTATATCTTGGTAACCGCTACACCAATTTCTCCCAAACTTGGCGCAGTTGTTAACCTTGGTACAACATACAAAACGGCTGAAAATTTTTAAAATCGGACAATAACCACGCCCACATCCCATATAACGGTAGTTTAGAGAAATACGAAATCTTCAATAAATTAGTAACTGCTGAAGCTACTTTATTCAAAATTGATGTTTACAATAACTCTTTAACAAACAACACGTTTATGGTAAAATTTTGGAAAATGGGCGAGGCACTGCCCAATTATGACCAAGTATGTGTATCTCGGTAACCGTTCGATCAATTTGTACCAAACTTGGTACGATTATTTCGCTTGCCAAATAAAAGCAAAACTTTGAAAATTATTGAAATCGGACTAAAATTACGTGCACTTTTCTTATAACGGTAAATTTAAAAAATGCTTGAAACTTCTGCCATTATGTCTAACTGAACGTTCTGAACGTTGGTTATCATGTAGCTGTAGTTTTCAGAAAGCCTGAACTTAGACTTCTTTACTTGTTATAAATAAAATTTGTTCTTAAAAATATTTTTTGCAAAGAATTACCTCAGATGTTAGCAGAGTTTAAGCTTAAAAGTGTGCATAAAAAATATTATGACGAAAATATTAAAATATTTTTTTATAATTTCGATGGAAAACCTGCTCCGATTTTTTTTTTTTTTTTTGTATGACAAGTGATGCGACCTAATGTACATAAATGTGTGTGTACATTTAAGTTTTTTATGAGCTTCCTTTTGACCTTTTTGTTACATAAGTTTTTATAAAACAATAAAAAAAAACGCTTTTTCATGTTTTACAGAGTTTGGATATGAATTCGCCCAAATATCCAACATTCCCAGAGTTCGTGCGTTGGCTCTTGGATCAGATAAAGCATGGCAATGTCCAAATGGATATGCATTTTGTATCGTCGACAATGTTTTGCACGCCATGTGTCATCAATTTTGATGTGATTATGAAATTCGACACACTCGACGAAGATCAATTATATCTCATACACAAGACTGGCTTGACGCGCGTCATAGCGCCCGAGTGGCGTAATGCGGGCAAAGGCAAGAATACGCAAGAGTTGCTGCAATCATTCTACTCTAAGTTGACGCATAAAGAAATGCATGGACTTTATCAATATTACAAGTGAGTAAAATATTTGTCGCAAAAAAAATCAACCAAGAAAAATATGTGAAAACCCCGCAAACCGTTTTTCCCGAGTATTCTGAATTGTAGAGAAATTTTAAAGAATTCGTAAAGATCTCATGCAAATTTTTTCCGAATTTTGCAAAATGAAGTAAACTGTAAACACTTCGATTCTTTTACAAAATTTCGGAAGAAAATCGGTGAAGCAATGCTGCTATGTAAAGAATTTTTTCAGAATTTTTCTTTATTTTCCATACAGAAGTTTCTTTGAAGCTTCGTAGAAAAATCATTACAGAAATGAGATCTCGTTAAGATTTCGGGAACTTTGGTTTGCAGGGAGGGATGCGTGGTTAGGGAGCGTTGGGAGGAAGCTTTAAATTAGAACTCTATTCTTACGAGATCGCGCAACTTGCCGAAATAACTGCTATCATAACCTCTTTGCCTAAAAGTACGCTGCTAAATATAGTTTGGAAGTGCATAAAATGTGTAATATTCTTGTTTGTACAATCAAGTTTTCACGGCATATTTTTTGGCGCCGCACTTATGACAACAGTCATTGCGGTGAGATTTATTATAATGTGGAAATCAGGCTGTTATTAGTTTGCTTTGATGTAGGGATGTGCCGGATAGGGGTTTTGCCGGATAACCGGATTCCGGATATCCTGTAAAATATAAGAGCCGGATTCGGATATCCGGTAGACCGCTGCTCTTAATATTGTTTACCGGTGATGCAGACATGCTTCGTTTTTTTTTTTTTTTTGATAATAAAAAATATATAATTTTTTAACTCTATTTACTAATTAGATACTAATAAATTTGATTATGAAATTAAAAAAATTCGGAACTAGATTTTTAAATTGAATCTTCTATAATCGCAATCCGGAAATCCGACCGGATTTTAGCCTATATCCGGTCGGATAGTCGGATAACAGAAAACGGCCGGATAAGCCGGATTCCGGATGTCTACCGGATACCCCCGGCACACACCTACTTTGAAGGAATCTTAACAAAAATAATATAAGTATGTATACCATATCGGTCGTTTAATAACACAGAAAATTAACTGGAAAATTTACGCTATCGATTACTACAAATTACTGAACTACTCAAACTTTCGAGGATATATGTATATCTTTCCATCTGTTTTTTTTATACCAAGTGCATATGTATGTATGTACATGGATTGTTGAAACTTTGATTATATTTTGAAATAATTCCCTTTGCTACTGAACGTGCCATAAACAAAATAGTTTTACATATTGCTAATTAAAAAAAAAATCTATCAAGAAATCTTATAGCGTAACTCCCACGTAATAGCAACACCCACCGAATGACTACTGACATACATACATATCTGTCAATATATACTAGGTGAGTTTTGTTTTTTCCGAGCGAATATAGCTACATACATACATATATGTAGACAAAAATGTTGTATTTTTTGAATCCATGATGAATTAGGAATGTAATGCTCCAAAATTGGTTAAACATTTGCAGGCGGGCACACCATTCGTTCACACCTCAGATATTTCATATTCCTTGTTTGTCTTGTATATATTTTTTTTTTTTGGTGTACTGCGTTTGTTCTTATATAATATTTAATAATGCCATGGTAAATAATAGCTAAACCAACCAACGGCCGCACCGCCTATAATCATACTACAGCTATGCATTCTTACGATCAATAATTTTAATTTATGCACTTTCTATCGCCTTTTTATTGCCAGGTATGACTTTGAATTATTCAACTATAGCGCGTCATCGTATTTTAATTTGGTACAAGAAAACGGCACCTGAGAAGAAAGTAGCCCAACACGATGGACGGAGAAAGTAGCAACAGCCGTAGCAGCATTTTAGGCGCTTCGCAACGCAGCCGCACTCCTCTCAGCAACAACGAAGCACACGAATATATACTTATGCACACAAATCTACAAACATACATACATACATATGTGTATGTACACCGACAAACCATACATATGAATTAACATACGTACATACATACATACATATACAAACTATACTACTTACTTACATACAATATACATACATAAACATAAATAAGTAAACGCTAATGAACCAAAAAGCTCGAATAGGAAAATAAAGTGAAAGGTTAGAAGTGGACTGAGAGTGATGAAATTCAATAAGTTCCAAATGGTTGGCGTGAAATTCAACCAAAAATATGAATGTAAAATATTTACATAATTGATTTTTATACGTAATATGGAAATTATGCTTGCCACTTTGTCGGCAACCTTGCATATCCAACTAATTGGTTGCATATTCACTAAGCTCTTTTAGACACGCACGTTTTCATGGCTGGACCGCGCAGCCACGAGCAACTTCTATGTAGCTAGAGCACTAACAAGAAGTGACGCATAAAATACATACACATACATAAGCACTGGCTCGTTAAGTTGAAGTAAGTAGGCGGATTTGAGGGTAATTTGAGCATTTTGAAAAGACACTGTACAATAATTTAGCGACGTAAACTAGCTGATAAATTTTAACGCCGTACGCGTAGTTACATTAATTGGTAGTAGTGCTAAGCTTTAGATTTTTGCTAAATAATTAAAGTAAATAAATTAAAATAACAAAATAAAATAACCAATTACTGAGCACTGGTTCGATTCAGCGAGCATATAACCATACCATTGAAGGCATGTGTGCGAAGATGACAGCGTGGAATGTAGTGGAAATTTAGTTGGTGCAGTTGGAGTTCCAGATGAAATGGCGCGGCTTAAAATATGCTTTAGAAAATATGGAAAATTATTAATGCATGCTTTAGGCAGCCTTTTAAATGTAATAAGCATACTTCTAGGCGCCTGGTTTCCTTTCGAATCAGCCTTGCAATCATAGAAAAGCTATAGAAAATCACACAAGAAAATATTGTCAAGTGATGTTACTCGAATAATTTTTGTAGGTTTCACTGCATTTTTTTTTTAATTAATTTTCAATAAAATTATATATATTTAGGAGTCGCAAGGTAGCGATATACATATGTATTTGATTAACAGAAAGAAGTAATAATTGCCACTGTCTAGGAAAGTAAAACTACTTTGCATTATTTAAATTAATGGATTGTGTTGTAGGTAAAATACAATACATGGATACATACATACATACATACACAAATAATAAAGCAAACCAAACAAAACAAATTATCCAACGTAAATTGTTGAGCTGAATTGGTCAATTTTGTTATTCCTATTTAGAAGGAAGTTGATAAATAATAAAACAAATTGAAATTATTTATAAACAAATTTGAAGTTTATCTCAACAATAGAATACGTAGCTGGTAAGTATGCAGATCACCTTGTTATATAAGTAGTTAAGAATAGCTTTTTCTAAAAATCATTAGGGCTGTTCAGGATCTTGAGCATATGCACATGCTTTTCCATAATCGTTGCATTTGTAAATTCACAACAATAAAATGTACACGGTTGCCATGGCAGCAAGCATAAAATTTGCAAATGAGATTCCAACTGCAAATCCAGGACCATTTCCATAACATCCTGAACAGCCCTATTATTTCTAACCGTAATCTTTGTATATGAGCAAATCTCACGAGTTGTTTTTAGTGTCACTTCTTTCTCTCGCCAGAAATAAAAAAAAAAAAACGCTTAAGCACTCTTCTTGCATATATTTGAGTAAATGGAGTTCCAGAAACAAGTACAATAAAAAATAAATCAAGTATTTGAACAAATTCAACCTTATGAAAACCTTTATTTAGGCGAAAAAGTACCGAAATTACTAATTTTTAACCGACTTCAAAAAATGGAGCGGGTTATCAATTCGTCGAAATATATATATATTTTTTATGTATGTATGTTACCGCATAGCTTTGGACCACGTAGACCGATTTCGAAAATTCAGAAAGGTAGTGTCTCAGAGGTGGTTCCATACTAATCTGGTTTAGAACCGATCATTGGATCGTGAAAAAATTAACGGTACTCCTAAATTTGTATATGAAAATTGAAGTCGGTTTTGTTTTTTTGCTTAAAAATTATTTGAATTATTTTGAAAAAATAATAATTTTTTTTGAAGGGAAACTTTTTTAGCGGCGATTGGTTGGTTGGAAGTAAATTGGCAAATTCAACGGAAGTTGCACACGGAAATGGTTTGGACGGAATCAAGTGCTTCTTAAATGTATGCACATGGTATCTATTTATTTAACAAAAACTTGCTAATGAAAGGTTGAAGAATATGACTTAGAAAGACTTAGATGCAAATATTTTCACTAGATTTAAATTGCTTTTTATGTAATTCTAAATATGTCAGCGCTGAAATATAGCCAACGGCTGTTGCGTTGAAGCTTAAATAAATAAAAAAATATATAAATAAAAAGAGACCAATGCAGAATGAGGTGAGTACGTAAATAGACAAAAAAGCATAAAGACAAATGTAAAAATAAAAAGAAAATCAAAGATAAATGCAAAAATGAAGATAAAGGTGAATTTAAACACTTTACTTATATAAGTCCTCTTTCAGACACGTCAAGTCTTGAAAGCAATTTTTTCGCATTCTCTTTTGTGTTTTCTATTTGCTTTCACACGCGTCAACTTTAATTGAATTCAAGTCCTTGGTTCTTCAAATGGGAAGCAACGAAAAGATCAAAAGAGACAAGAAAACTTGAAACGAATTGACGGTACGGAGGTGTCTGTACTCTTCCCCTCTTTTCTCACCTCCTTCGCCTACGAACGAGCAGACTTAAAAGCAAGACTTGGCGTGTCTGAAAGGGGACTAAGGGCAAAGGTAGCAGATAACGTTTAAGAGAGTTTAAGTGCAGTCTTTCGAATATATTTTGACATACAATATATTTAAGATATTTTGTGATCCAAATATATTTGAAATATATTAAAACTATAAACACCTCCATGATTTTGTTCTCAGAGATCGTGCCAACAGCGTATAGGGAACTGATAACCTCCACCTTTTTTGGTAGTCGGTTAAAAAAATATGAGCATGAGGACCCCGATAAAAGTAATGTTGAAGATAGAGGAAGACAGATAAAAATAAAGAAAAGGATATAGATAAAGACACAGGGACTCAACCTGGGAACCAAGAATGATATAATACAAATACCAGAATGAGAGAGTAAGACGAACTCGACCAGAATAAGAGGAAGCATCGAACAAAAGGCAGTATTGCCGAGTTTTGAATTTGAAAAAGTACCAAATTTTTATTGGTGTATTTTATGGACTTAATATGCATACATAAACTTACTGTAAGGATGCCGATTCAAATTAATTAAAATCAATGTTTCTTGCACGACGATCGATTTCTTCTGGCATGATTGACGGTGCTGCCACATATTTTGTTGTCGCTTATGATTGTCACTGTGCCATGATTTTGTTTAAATTTTTGTAAAGATGCTTACCCCACTTACGATTGCTATAAATTTTACTTCCATTTGGTGTCTTCAAACTAAAAACAAAAGCACCAAAAACTCACCAAGCACCAAACTCGAAAATTTTCGCGTTTTGAATACCCACTAAATTTGGTGCGAAAAGCACCAAGTTGGCAACAGTGAAACGCGATAAACGAAGGATATTTTCACTGTCTTCTCGCTTCGCCGGAGTTGAAGTAACAGTTCTCCTCCTCTGCTATTCACCTGTCAGAAAAGGGGGGAAAAAAAACTCTGTAGGACAAATGAAATACCATTGGCGCACTGGAAAATGAAATTAATTGAATAAAAAAAAAAAAAACAATTTTAGATAAAGACGACTAATTAAAGTTGCAATAATAAGTATCGGCTGTTTTATTTTAAACACTTTTATTCAAATTCATTTTTACCTACTTCAACTTGTATTTTGTGGTCTTCGTTTTGTATTTGAAAAATCCTTTAGCAAACGTTGCTTTTCGCATTGGTTTCAACGCCATTGTTGGTATTTGCTGATACACAACTGACGCTACTCAAGCTTGGCATTGCTTTTTGATAATTTTATTTTGTTTGATAAGCAACTGTAGTATACCAACGATTACACTGTTTTTTCCAGGTTCTGCTTGATTCTATTTCATGGATTTGTTTTGTTTTGCTTTGTGGTTTGTTTATACTTCCGGTTTGTTTTATATAAATTACTTTAATTTATTCATTTATAACTACACAATTTCATTGTAATATACAATAGTTAAAACTAAGTTTTAGCCAGCATTAAAATTTTGTTTGTTTAACTTGTATTTCCATTTTTATTTTCATTTTCGTTATTTGCCGATTTGGTTACTCAACTTTATACATTTTATAAAAGAACTTGATACTTTTTTTTTTAACTGCAAGTATTACTTTTCGTATTACAAAATAATAAAAGTTAACTTAATTTACGAACATTTACATACATAGGTTGTAATATACTACGATTTTAGTAGAATTTCTAACCATAGTTGCAATCATTTTTTTATTTATTTTTTATTTTGTTTTTCCGTTTTTCACACCATTAATTACGAATGAATTGTTGGTCCTTTGATTGGTTGGTGTTGCTTTGTTTTATGTATTTACTATTCTTGGGTGTCCATGTTAAAATTTATTAATGCCTTTGCAAATAAGACTATAATAAGCGGTTTGTTACTATATTTTTCTATTGTTTCCACCTCTATTAATATGTGTATGTATATGCAGTTTGTTTTATCGGTTAGAGTTTTCGCTTAATCTAAAATTCTAAAGTGTATTTTGTATGAATAAACCTTAATACATAATTTTTTATGAATATTTTTTTGTGGGCGTCAAAGGACATATTGTCCACTCATGCCGTGGCCGTAAAGTCTTACAAATATACAAATTTCTATGAATATTCTACTTAATTCTAAACCGCGCTTAAAGGTTAATATTGGTTTTGAACCTCTTGAAACTGAATTGAACCATCTGGTGTGTTGTGCAGTGGAACAAAACAACATGAATGCTTACGTGATTTTTTAACTTAAAACAACAAAAAATATGCTAGCAACAAAAATGTGTTAACTTATGCAGGTATATTAAGGAAATCGCAAGCCCTCCTTTTCTGGACCAACACGCCATATTTTTTTGTTCTACATTCATGTTGCTTTGCTGCATAAACTGTTTGTGGCATTCGCTATATCTGCTGGAAAACCGTAAGAGCAGCGCTTCTGCTTACACGTACACACAAAACACCCATTAGCAAATGCTCGCTTAACCCAACTCCTAATTCAGTATTTAGTTTCTACATGAAAATTTATACATTTAAAAATATGGGTTTACTTTAATGTTTGTTCCTGTGATTAACAAGATGTTTTAGGTAAAATAGTAGGTAGAAAACGACATTTAATCGGAATAAACAAAATGTACAAAATTTGCGTGATATTAACCTAAATGTATAAGGCCATATTTTTATATATATAGTTTTTATGTTAAACAACGCAATATCATCATGCCAACTTGTAATATACCTGCTTTTAATACAACTTGCATACTTAGACAAAGCAGTGTTTGAAGCAATCGAGCAAGTAAGTAAGAAATTTAAAGCACGCATTGCTTAAAATAACTGCTTTCATCATTTCTTTTTGTTTTCATATTCTCATTCGACTCTTGGCTAGTGAATTAATTTTTGAAATTCCATTTCAAGTATGAGTTGCAAATTTTATTTTTATTAAATAAATCAATAATAAAAATAAGAAATTATGTTGTTAAATGGAGTTAAAATATTAGAATCAAAAGTAGAATATGTTTATTAGTGTGGCTCTTACTAATATTGCAATAATCCATCCAAACTAACTAGAAATATTTTCCCGCTGTCAGCCTAATTGCAACTTGAAGTAAGCTTTATACATTTTCTGCAACTAATAAAGCACTTTGTCGTCAACCGCAGTAGCGGCAAAGCATAATTGTCATAAAGATAAACATATTTATACAAGAAGCTTTGAGATTAAAAACCCGCAAAAGTTGCATTCATTTCACTTTGCAATCAAAATGTGATTACATTATATGTTGCTGGAGGAGAGCTACAGCGAAACAAATAAAAGTACTTTACATAGAAAATTACAAAATAAGGGGATGAAGTGATTTTATCGACGAAATGTTCACCATATTTAGAAAGTTCATATTATATATGTAGGTGTCCCTTAGCAGTTGTACGAAGTCGATCACTTAAGATATGCCTTATATAACATTTGGCTTCTGCATGTGTCGCGCTCCTGTTCCATGAAGAAGAGCATGTCCCGGAGATTAACGCGTTTAATCCGTGGTCTTAGCGGCACTGCTGGTACACTCGATGCGCCTAGTGCACCGCCGGCGCTAGAATTCTGTAAGAGTTATTTATATTTATAACAGCAATTAAGATGTGGTAAACAATTTGTTATACGTACCGCCCCTGTACCTATTGCGTCGCCATCTAGCTTGATTTTTTTCCGTGGTCCAATAGCTTGCAACGCAGTCATATTGGCGTCTCGCTGCCGCAGTTCTTCCATTTCGGCACGCTGCATTTCTTTCGCCTGCAATTCAACAAACAAAAACATCCGAGTTTTCATTGTTTACATAAATGTAAAACACTTTCGATAAATTACCCTCGCTTTCATTTTCGCCTGCTCGGGGTCCTCAATTTTCGATCGAGACTTGGCAGCGCGCAATAGCATTTCTCTTTCCATTTCCTCATGACGTTTTTGTTCCGCTTTATCCAATTCCTCTAAAAATTTTATTTGACCACGTACATCTTTTGTGACTTCGTATCGTGGGTCCAGCTAGAATATTTAAATTGTGTTATATTTAACAATCATACAAATGTTTCAATGTGTAAGCTTGTCTGCGCACCTTAATAACGTCAATTCGATGCTCTGCTATCACAGCCAATTTTTCCACGATATTTTTCAGACGTTCTTGGCACGCATGTGATATCAACACTGCCACATCTTGTGATGGTTCTTCCAGACCACGCTCCATTACCATCGCGCGTATACGCGCCTGCAGCGCAGGCAGATGCAGAAATACTTCGTCCTTGCACGAACGGATCTGGGTGCCGATATTTTCAGTGCAGCCCAGAATGCGCTGTGATTCCTCGGCCAAATTGACACCACCCATGGCAGCGACATCGTTTATATCGTCGTCCCCGTATAATGAAGAAGACATAGATATAGAGGGCTGTTGGTAGAAGGAAGACGCTGCTGTTGCGGCAGCGCCCGAAGCATTCGCTTTGTCTTCTTTTTCTTTATCCAGTTGTTCTTTTTTCTTTTTGCTTGATGCTTTGCTGGCCGATGAAGCACCAGATTTTGTCGTTGACTTGTTTGCTGTGGCAGTCGCTGATGGTGTGGCAGGTGCAATTTTCTCTTGTTTCACGATGTTCAAGTCCACTTTGTGGTCAATGATTCTTAGGCTCTCTCCTATGCCTGCTAACGCTGCGTTATTGTGCAGATGGCTGCTACTGCTATTCATTAAGGCGGGGGGCAGTTGTACGGTGGGCAATGATGGAGTTGGCAACGATGTCCCACTGCCTGCGTGCGAATATGTCGCCACAGAATTGATGGTGGATAGAATTGTGGATACCGCAGATAGCGATGGTGTTGACGAGGGTGGTAAGCTGTTGGAAATAGCTGCGAG